GAAGTGTCAAGATCTCTAAGTGTAAAGTGAGAAGTACTGAAAAACAAGGATTAAGTTGGAGGCCAAAATCCCCCAAAAAACAAAAACCAAAGGCTAGAGTCAGCATATACTGCAGCTTGGACGAGCTTCCTATGGGAATGACGTTAGAGACATTTAGCTTTCAGTTCACAGAAAACAACTTAAACTCAGTGACTGAAAATCATCATGAAACATATGATTCAATAAAGAAAGGGTGTGTAGCCCAAATTACCTTAATCTCATAAACCGTAATTAATTACATAAGAATGAATCATTCCACCCTATACAAACAGCTGAAGAAATATCTGCTCTCTTGTTAGTAGTGCAACTTGTAGTTTAATCTCTGAATATTGCTGATTATAAAGCATTTGCTAACATAAACTAAATTCTGTACAATATCTACTTTGTAAACTATTACAGAAAATATGCTTATAAACACTATCTGAATTTTGATTCATAATGCAATGGAAAGTTGTGCAAGAAAATATTTTGCTTTGAAAACAGGGTCTTGTCAGGAAGATTTTGGGTGCTTGGATTTGAATAGCAAAGCAAATATTCAGTTGTGACCTGTTTAACCAGTTTCCTTCTCTCTCTTTCTCCTTTTTATTGACTTGGAAAAAATTGCATGAATGTTGGAAAATTTATCTTTCTGCACTTTATTGTGAGAGACTATGTGTGTCAGGCATTGTACATATATATTGCCAATCTTCACACTAGCCTTGTAAAGTCTGTGCTATGATCCCATTTTAAAGATAGGGAAGGTGAGCCTTAGACAGTAATTAACTCATGATTATTCAGAAATGACAGAGCTGGAAACCGAAACCAGGCAGATTTGAATCAAAGAACATGCACTTCCTCTCACATACATCTCCTCCCTGAATAAATTGCTTCATGCTACAGGGAACAGGAAAGCTTTATCTCCTGTTTCTTTTGACTTCACCTGGGGGAAGCATGGGAATCCACATCTATTAATAATACTATTTCCTAAAATACATCATCAGTCTTGATCTCTCTCTTTGAGCTCCACATCATAATTTCCAATGATTAATTGGATGGTTTACAACCACCTTAAATAGAACAGTTCAAAACTGAACTTGGTATCTTTTTCCCCATTGGACTCTAGCATTTGAGGATATAACTTAGGCTGTATAAAACAATTATTAGAGAAGGAAAAGACTTTAGGTTATGCTTCAACACAGTGTATCAAATCTTAATTTATTTGGATGCTGCTTAATTGAAAAATACTTCCAGTTCGTGTAATATATTCTTTGTTAATAATGCTCACTTAATGTTCCTGCAATAATTAAGATGAATTTTTTCCAATAAAAACATGATCATTTCCTCTTTTTGGAATTTTCTTTGTTCTAATATTGGTCATATCTTTGAAATGAAGGACGTGAGATATAAAAGATTTTCCTTTAATTGACTTTAAAATTCTTAGCAGAGTGTTTAATTCTTGCATTGTAGACGGCTTCT